TATAGAATTAAGAATATTGAAATTTATGAATGATCCAACTGGTGGGTCATGTGAAGTTAGAAAACTGCAGACCAAAGAAGATAGTAGATCCTATATCACAGAACTAGAAACTCAGAACATTATATAACAGACTTAATGAAGCATGAGTTATCTTACAGTTTAGTGACATACAGAGGCTACATACTGTCTGATGATCTTTGCAGAATAATAACTCTGGCCTTTAAGAGATGTAACAGGTCCTAAAAGTGTCTAAAAACCTTTAGGATAATGAAAAGAGATAAAGATAAAAAATAAAAAAAAAATAAAAAAAATATCAAAAGGTTTTTTAAAAATTTTTAAAAAATTTTTAAAAAAATTTAAAACTAGCTGTAATTCCAAAAAGCTAAGCAATCGACATATAAACAAATTACAAAGTAAACAATCATATAAGTTAGAGTAAACAAATAGATAAACAAAGCAATATATGTTCAAGCATTCAACTAGTACAGAACATAACTAGTTAAATAACATATTGCAAACAAGAGCATATATATTTATTAGATTAGTAATTAGTTTAGAAGATTTTAAAACAAAGTTAGATATAAAACAAACAACTAATAACAAAAAATAGCAATGACAGAAATTAAAAATTTGTATAATTCAAACCAAAAAACAATAGCAGAAAAGTATGTTTACTTAAACAAGTAAAAAGAGCATATTACAAAAAGAAATATAAATATAGCAAACTTTTTAGATATAAGCAATTCAGTATAGATATATATTATAAGAGTTTTAGTAAAATATAGAAAAGTGTGCAGAAATATTACTAAGAAAAAAATTACAATAATGAAAGTAAGTGTTTTAATTAACTAAGATAAAAAAGAAAATAAAAACAGTATACAAGATATAATATATATTAATAAAGTAAAAGTGCAAAATATAGAAACAAAAATGAAGCTCAAACTACTAATATCATAGCTAGTAAATTAAAAAACTTGCATTAAAAGAAAGCAATTAATAGCAGAAAAATAAATTAATGCCTTGAACAAAAAAAAAAAAAATCAAACAACATAGCAGCAAAAAGTAAATTTTAATAAAACAAAAACAAAATAAAGCTAAAAGCACTAGTAACATAATTAATAGTTCAAAAAAGCAGTTTTAAACAAAGGCACTTAGAAGAAAAAATAAAAATAGTAAATAAAAAAAAAGATAATAAAGCTAATAAATAAGCAGAAGTTTTTTTAAATAAAACTAAAAAAGAAATACTTAAAAATTCAGATGAAGTAAACATTGAAGATAAAGTAGCTCTATTAATAACAGAATGTGATATATATAATTCAGAGACAGAAGAGTTAAAAAAACTAATGCTTTTAAGACACAACAATAAAACAAAAAAGAATATAGTAATAAAGAAAAGAAAGAATTCAGAAAACAGATTTTATAAAAACATCTATGCATTAAGATAAACATCTAAAAATATAAGTGACTCTATATAGTCTACTAAAAATATATCAAAAAACCTTGAACAAAAAGAGGTACTAAAGCAAGAACAAAGACAAAATAATAAACAAAAACATAAAATAATTTAACAGTAATGTTAACAATTTGGAATTTGCCAAAAGATGCAAAATATAAAAGAGTTATATATTGTCTAAGTTTCTATAAAAAAACAAGAATACTTGAATAGAAAAATCTAAAAAAAATAAAAACTGCATTAGTACAAATTAAAGGTTGAAACTAGCAAAGACTAAACCTTTTAGCATCAAGCTAATCAGTACATTTTGAAAAAAAATTTATATATAGAATTATACTAGAAAGATATGACTCTAAAATACTCAAAAAAAGAAGAAAACACAAAACAGCATTATGAGATATTCCAAAATTAGTATTAGAGTCAATTTTGTTAAAACTAAGACCTTTAGAAGTCAAAGCATTATTTATACTGAACAATAGTAATAGTAATAAAAGAAGTATAGCCTTTGCATACTTTGAATCTGAAGAAGATTACTAGAAAGCAAAAGAAAAAAGTGTTTTTTATTATTATAACAAGTTGTTTTAATATAAGCACTAAAAAAAAAAAATAGAGCCAAGTAAATTAGACCAAGAAAATACAGAAGAGCATTATAATAAAAAAACAAGAAAGAAAACTAAGTTTTTTTCAAGACATTTATAACTTTGAAAATAAAAAGCCAAAGGCAATTAAATCTAAAGTAAATATAAGAAAGAAAGAAAAACAAAAAGAAAGAACAAGAAGCAATACAAAACAAAAAGAAAGAACAAGAAGCAATACAAAACAAAAAGAAAAAACATCAATTATGCAATAAATTGAAAAGCATTAAAATATATTGCAAGAAATATTAAAAAGCTTAACAGTTTAGACAATAGGCAGGTAAATCTTGTTTATAGCTTTTAAAAAGCACTTCAGTTGAATCAAAGAACCAGAATACAAAGAGAATAGATGCTTCAAAATATTGAAAAATAGTAAAAAAGTTTTTTCTGACTAAGACTTAATATACAAAGAAGTATTACTAATAAAGGTGATTAGAAAAAGCAATTTGAAACTAAACATCACATGTCATAATATTAATGAAATGAAAAGTAACAGTCACAAAATAGAATTGATACATGAATGGGTTTTGGACAATAAAATTGATAAACTAGATCTAGCAAAAACAATACTAGCAAAAAAGAAAGTTTTTTATCTTAAAAGATTTGAACAAATATAGAAGTATTTGGTTAGATTTAAATGCATTTAAAAAGAAAAACTCAAAAGTTGAAATACTAGTAGAAGAAAGATAGAAAAGACATCTTGATCAAATAAATAGAGTTAATAAATATATAATAGTAGCAAACTTCATATTCAAACAACTGGAACTTATAGTTATAATAATATATATGCCATTTAACAACAAAAAAGAGCAGAAAAGAATCCAAAGAGTAATTATAAAAAAATATATTAAAAGAACTTACTGAACACAAATAGTAATCATAAGTGACTTAAACTGCATTGTTGATCTAAAACTAAATAGGTCTAGTATTTTAAAATACAACTCTTTCAAAAAAAACCAATTCTAAAATAGCTAATTAGTCAGAATTTTAAAGACTCTTTCAGAATAGAAAATCCAAGAAATAAAGAATTTTCATAAATAAATAGAGAATTCAGTACAAGAATTGATCAAATCTAAATAACAGAAGAGCTTGCAAATGAACTCATTAATACAAAGATTCAAAATATGTCTAACTGTATAAATAGTGATTATAGTGTAGCAGCAGCAAGATTAGAATTAAATTACATAATTGCATAGCACAGAGTGTCAAAACTCAAGAAGTTAGAACAATATCAAACAATTTTTTTATATGAAAAAGTAACAAAATAAATTAAAAAAAATATAGAAAAAAGTTAAACAGAATGTTTAAAAATAAAAATCTAATACAAAGAATAAAAAAAGCAGGTTAGAACATACAAAGAAGTCTAAAAAAGATTTGAATAAAATATAAGAAATTATAAGTAAAAGTATATTAGAAACAGCAAGAAAAACAATAACAAAGAAAAAAGTTCTAAATATTACTAAAAACAAAAAAAAAGAAATTTAAGCTGATTAAAGTATTATCACAGCTAAAAAGATGGATCAGCTTAGAAAAAAAAAAGTCAAACTAGATTTGATCTTAGAAAATATAGAAGATTTCAATATTATAGCAAAATATATAAACAAGCAATATAAAATCAGTATAAAAAAAATTTCAAAGATATGAACAAAAGAAATAATCTCTAAAATATATAGCTAGTAAAAGATTTTGTATAAAAGAAGAGCAGAAAAGATAAAAAACAAAGGCTAAAAGAAATAGAGCAATACATCAAAAGAAGATGTCAAATAATCAATAACAAGTAAGAAAGAATATTAATAAGTCTATTGGACAAATCATTAAATAAAATAAAAATAAACAGACTTGTTGAATTTGAAGATCTAAATAAAAAGCTAATAACAAACTCACAAAAGGTGCTTGAAAAGACTAAAAAATATTTTTAGCAACAATTTAGAATATGAAACTTTTAAAAGTATAAAATTAAAAATAAGTAGAATAAATATATTAGCCAAAAAAGAAAATTAATAAAAATTAATATGAATAGCTAAATTAGAATATTACAGAAGAAGAATAACTAGAAATGTTATTAATATAGCTTCAGATGTGTTAAAAATCATTTATATACTAATTAAAGCAGCTAGCAATTAGACTTAAAAAAATCTTTAGAAGGCTGGCAGAAATATGCATCAAAACAGAATTAATATCCAAAAAATAAAAGATGTTTCAAATTTATCTAATACCAAAAAACTTAGATTAGCAATATAATTTGAGCAATGTAAGACTAATAGCATTGCTAAAAACTTTGTAAAAATGCACAACCAAAATATTTACTAAAAGATTAATACAAATATTTTGTGAGAAAATATATTAAAAGAACCAAATTTTGCAAAGTTACTAGGTGGATCAACAGAAAAGCCATTACATATTATTAATGCAATAATAAAAAATACAAAAAATAACAAAAAGGAACTTTGGCTAGTATTATAAGATATGAAAAAGACCTTAAACTTAGTATTATTAGTAGTATTAGATTTGGTACTTAAAAGGCTTAAAATACCAAAAATAGCAATTACCTTTATTTTAAATTTGTTTGAAATTGATAATCAAAAATTATTACAGACTTAGAAACAATAGCAGTTTTTGAAATTAAAGATGGCATCAAACAAGTTGAAATAATCTTATCTTTAATATAGAAAATATTCTATAACCCATTATTAGAAAGAATCCAAAGTGACCCAAGTCTAGGCTATACATTGTGTACTTAATACAATAATAGCATAGAGTCTATGATGCAAAAGAAAAAAAAAATGAAAACAAGCTGTAATAGTATATGCAAATGATATAATATGGTTTGCATTAAGTAAAAGGCAAATAAAAAAAATTATTAAAGAGCATTTCTATTTGTATACGAGATGTTCAAACATGAGATTATTATATCACATAATACAATATAATTTTGCAATATAGGATTTAGAATTGATAAAAATAAAACTAGCATTAATTTTAGTATTACTGTTTTACTAACAAATTGGTTTTCAACTCTAAATTATTAGCAACCTTTTTAGCAAAATTGTTAGTTTGGCAATATTAAAATCCTCTACAGCACTACTTAAAAAAAATCAAACACAAACCTAATATATAAACATAATATAACTTACTCTAATTATAATGAACTCTAATAAGTATAATAATAGTTATATCCAACTACATAGAATATAACTGATTTATCCTCTGCCATCTATGTAACATAACTTTCATGTACTTATTTTAGAGTGAAACCTTTATTTTATGTATTGTTTTTATATTTAAAATTAAATAGGATAATATGCTTAATTACCTAAATTAAATAGATATATGTTCAGTAGAAATAAGTACATGAAAAAAGTTACATAGATGGGGTTGGCCAGAAGATAAAATTTTTTTATTCTGGTAACTTTACTATAACAATCTCACAAATAGAATTTTGTGCAGATTCTTTTACATCAGCTTTGAACACTTCAAATATATAATACCTGCTCTTGAAATGCTAATACTAAACACCTTATAACTTTTAATCTTATCCTCTAAATTATAACCATAAACCCTAACCTGTAACCTCCAATTTTATTATAAGTACTACACTTAACCTCAAAAAATCAATACTAATTAAACTAACAACCTAACTAAATATTCTAAAATCTATAAGATATCATGAAATCAGTATAATCATACAATTCAAACAATAGCTCATTTTTGATATTGAAATGCTAGTCTATATGTCAATACTGTAATAGTTAAATTAGGAATTAATTATTAAATTATCAACAACTACAGTATAAATATATAAATTATACTTACTTATTTGGGCATGTTTTAGCATAATGTTCAAACTGTTTGTATTTTTCACATTTTTGGTCTTTGAGATCATTTCCAATATCTATGTTAAGATTTTTTATTGAGCTATTATTCTGTTTATCTATTTGAATATTTAAATTTGTATGATCATTCAGCTGATGTTTGATTTTGCTACCTTGTTCAAGACTGGATTTAAGTCTCTTAGGAGGGCATCCCTTACGTTTCATGATATTAGGATTGTTAACATTACCTTCATCTTAATTTTGACTCTCATTTATTTTGTTTTCTGTTTGTCAAATAAATATTTGAGAGTATTGGACAATTCTGAATATATGTTATATTTAATTGCAATGTCAATTGCTTTTTTAGAAAGTCCAAATAACTTTGCATATATCACTTTGAAAGGTTGAGAGGTTAACTCAGAATTAAAGGCATTAAAATGAATCAAAAATAAATTTTGCAGTGTAATATTCTGCATGGTTTTGAGGACCTCTTGTTCAGATTTTAAAATAGAGATAGCAGAGATCTCTTCTAATAGATTATTTATATCAACCTTAGAATCTGAGAACCACTAACTTGAAATCAAAGTTATGTAAAATGTGGCTAATGGAGAATATATGCCAACACAAAAAAAGTGGTGACAAATTAAGCCTTTATTAATTAAAAGAAGGCAACTACACAAATGAAAGGCATTCTTAAGCAGTATAATATAATGTCTATGCCTATTATTTCCTATAGCATGCATATGCCATACTTAAAGAATTTCATCAGATACTAAATCTTGTATTATTGATATAAATAAAATCTGGTGTGTGTCAGTATTCTGCTCTCTAATCCAAAGGCTGATCTTTGTACTATCAATATCAGTCTATAAAATTATAATAATATTAAAACCATAAGTAAATAAAGCAATAACTTAAAATTTTTGCAACATAAATAATACTTTTATATTAGTGCTATCAAGAAAAAACTAGAATTTGAGTTTTCAATTATACTTTGTACTGGATACAATCACTAATAAATCAAATAAATTGTATCTGATACAAAATATAATTGAAAGTCCAAATTCTGGATTTCCCTTGATAGCACTTATTTATGCTCTATATGATATTGTTCACATTATTGATTTGTATAGTATTATATTAGATGTGTTTTTATAATAAAAAATTCAAACTTACTTTAATCAAATTATGTCATTTATAAATATGAATGATATCATAGCATATACTTGCATTCATTTGGTCTCTTTGCTTATTGAGAATGTTAGATATAAGAAACCTTTCTAATAATTTATTAACATTAAAAAAAAAAATAATGATTTGACATTGGTAATCCAACAGTTGAAATAGCATTGCATTGTATCTCAAATTTCATTAAATGTTTGTCTTGTTTAATAAAATCATTGAGACTATTTAACACATTATATAAAGAAGTTGACCAATTAACATTTTGATATATATAAGAATTAATTGATTCAATTCTCTAAGTACTTTGTGCATCACCTGTAAAGGTTTTGTTAATCCAAAGAATTGTCCAGAATTCTTTAATAGATATTTGGCTGCTGCTAGATAATCAACTATCAACTTTGACCATTGACTTTCAAAGAGAGCCTTACATAAACTATTGTAACATTAATAAAACTCTGATCAAAATGTCTCAAATGTAGAATCTAACTTATTCTTTAATTTTTTTCTAAGATTTAAATCAATATGAAAAATATATATCATATGCTTGGCAGTAAGGTATGTAGCTTTTAATGCACTAATTATTGCTGAATCATTGTTAGTAAATATCATTTTAGGAACAATTCCAGTTTTCTCAAATAATGTCTCATAGATCCATTAAAATAACTTTAAGGTTTTATTCTCAATAATACAGTTGGCTATTATTTTCATCCTGTAATTATTATCAATTACAGTAATTACATATAACATTATTTGGAATCGATTAGTATTCGATGTTGTATTCATAAATATTACATCATGAAAATTTTTATATAGCAATCTTTGAGATAGTAACATCCATAAGAGTGAACATAGTTTTCTTGATACTGAATCTATATGTGGTTTAACCACCCATAATGGGTCTGATTCTTTCCAGTCTAACAAAGTCTGAAGCATTAAGAAAGCATCTGAATTTCCAGAATTATTATTTTAATAAAAATTGTAAATAGCAGTATATAAATCATGTTTATTTAAAGGTTAGGTAGGGTAATCTTGCTTAATTAAAGAATAAATTGATGTTAAATCTAATCTATTATGAATCATATACTTTTTGATATTGGCTAGTATTTCAGGAGTCAACTTCCAAAACTAAGATGCAATTTCATTGATCATTGAAGTAAGAAAGTAATTGTGCTTATTTATAAATAAATTAATTCTAACTACATTAGTTGCCTTCAGACAGGTAACATTCATTTTTCAGAGGCAATGTGTTTGCTAGAAAGAGGATTTATGATGTTTGATCAGATCTGATGTTATTTGTGAATTATGAGTACCAGACCAGATGCACTCAAATAAAGCCCTTCACATCATGTGTTGATCACTTTTGCTTGTTCTAATTTTATAATCAAAGCCTTCTTTTAATGCAAATCTATAAAGCCAATATTTACAATTCTCCCAATTTTGAAATGTAAGCTCTAGTATTAATTCTAAGAAATCTGAAAAATCTAAAAAATCATTAGAATTTTCTGGTTTTGGTTCTTTATTGTATAATGTGTTATTGATTGTTGGCAAAACCATTCGAGGTTCTAAAAAGATAATAAATTATAAAAAAAGCAAGTTAAAAAATTATAGTATAGAATAAGATTATAACTAGTAACAAAAATACAATAAAAAATAAAAGCTATTACTTTAAAATAAAAAATACTGTATGATTATATACTGGAAATGCCAAAGAAACTTGATTCTTATTCTCAATAAGGTTCTTTAAGTGTTATAAAAACAAAATTAAGTATCATAAAATAGTTATAATTAAAAAGAATAAACCAAAGTTATTATTCTATATAGAATAGAAAATATTATATAATTGTGCACTGCAGCTATTGAATAAGTACTAATACCATCTTGATTATTCTCATTAATACTACCCTGATCGATCTTATTAATACCATCCTGATTGATCTCATTAATATTATTCTGTTCAATCTAATTAATATAATTCTGATTAATCTCATTAATATTCTTCTGGTAGTTATCATATAATAAAAAAAATTATTGAATAATTATATAATATTATAGTTTTATAATTATGCAAAAGAACAAGCAACTTAATTATTCTAAACCAGTAAATTACTGTATAATCATGTGCCGAAATCTCATAAATGTTCTTTAAATAAGTATCATATTACCAAAAAAAAACTTTGGGTAAGAATCAAATACCATAGTTTATTGTAATAAGCTGTTATTTTAAATACCATGTAATCATGCTCTGGAGACATCAAAGAAATATAAATATCATCCTGGTCATCGATTTTAATTATATTCTTTAATTAAGTATTACAATATTTTATTATTAAAAAAACTGATAAGAAAAGTTAATTGGATATAGTTTATATTAAAAAAGATCAGCTAGAATGGAATAAAATATTACTTGAACATGCACTAGGGCTGTTAAAGAAAGATGTGTATTATTTTGCACTGTCTCAGTAACATTCTTTAGGTATTATATTTTAAATTAATAAAAATGAAATAGTTAGTTAACTATAACTTATATAAAAAAAAGCAAAATAAAGTTATCATACCAAAACAGGATAACATATTACATAGTCATATGCTAAGACTGTTAAAGCATAATCATTGATATTAATATAACTAAAAGCATCTTTTAGATAAGAATCATAACAGTATATTTGTTTATTTGCTTTTTAAAATTATTTCAGAAGTGCAAAAAAAAGAGAAAGAAGTGATATAGATGAAAGAGATAAATTTTAATTTATTTAACAATTAAATCACATATGCTTCAGATCAAATCTTTAATCAAAGGGTATTTAAGTATGTACATACATACATATGTATGTCATATATACATATATTTAACAATTGGCAAATTATGTTTATGTATATATGTAATATAGATCATGTGTAACTGTATTCATACACTATATGTATAAATATAAATTTTCATTATTAAAATAGCAAAAAATTTCTTTAACTTAAATGATATACAAATTAATAAAAAAAAACCAAACTTAGTATAATAAACATCAAAGAAAAAAAGAAAAATAGAATAATTTTTTTTAGCAAAAAGTAGATTTAGAAAAAAAGTGAAAATAAGATTATATAATTTTTAGGAATTTGGCTAAACCACAAACTTAAAAAATTAATAATAAAGACAACAGTTAAAAAATAGTACAAATATTTATAAGAGGCCTAAATTCAAAAAAGCTAACAATTAGCCAAATATTATATATTAACAATATATGCATAATATTCAAGTTGATCTATATACTACAAACAACAAGCTTATTAAAAAATATAATAATTAATATATATACATCAATAATTGGCCTGGCAAAAAAAAAATTAAAAATTATATAAACTGTAAAAAATAGTATGATGTATCACAAAAACTTAAATAATCTTAACTTATTATAGAACCAATTACTGCTCAAGCAAATTATTAGTTTACATAATCGACTCAATACAATAGGTTCAGAAGAAGCAGAAACCAATATAAGAATAGAAGATAGTTTTTATTTAATAGGAGTATATAAAAACATATGACAAAAAAATATTTCTAGAACAAGTGCAAAGCTGTAAAAAAAACAATTTGGCATATTTAATGATGCTAAGAGCAAAAAAACTACAATTAGTTTTGAACTTTAACTATAAAAACCTAATTTATAATAATGAAAACACAAGAATATATAAAATTTTAAAAAAGAAATTTTATACCAATAATTGCATATAGACTAAAAAAGTTAGATACTATATTTGTATATCAGTTAATTAATAAGAAAGAAAACAAAATGATTATATGACAGCAACTAAGTTTTCTAAAAAGAGTCAATATTAAAGATAGACCAGTAAAGTGGTTCAAAATTTTAGAACCAGAGATAATAAAAGAGCCAAATTGTAGAATAGTGAAACCAAAATTTAGAATTGCAGCTTCAAACAAAGGAAGGATCAAAATGCAATTAAAAGAACTATTAGATAATACAAGACAAAAAAATTAGATAGTAATAAATAATATACTATCTTATAAAAAAAAAGAAGTATTAGTAAAA